GGTTGGGGAGGGGTAAATGACGGGTTGGGTGGGTTGGCTGGGGCAGTGGGCTGGGCCGAAGGCCCAACGCTGGTTGTGAGGCCGTTTTGGGCCGAGAAGAAGGGTGAGAAGATGGGGTTGGGTTATCGGGTTTGGAGGGGGTGTGGGCCAGGGGGTGGAGGAGGTTCGGGGAGTGATTGGGTTGGTGGGTGAGGTAGGGTAGGTCGTCCTCCGTGGTGTCAAGAAAGGTGAGTTCCGCAGGTGATGAGTTGTGGGCGTAGGGAAAAACGGTTTCATCGAAGGTGACATGACGGGAGATGATGATTTTGTTAGTGTGGAGATCAAGGCAGCGGTAACCACGTTGTTGGGAGGGGAAACTAACGAAGATGCACCGTGCAGAGCGTGTGGCTAGTTTGTGTGGGGCGGTGGCAGAGGTGTTGGGGTAACAGAGGCAACCAAAGACACAAAGGTGATTGTAGGTGGGTGGGGTTTTTAACAGGATGGCATACAGTATTTGATTATGTAATGTGGTGGTTGGGAGAAGATTAAATATGTGAGCTGTCATATGGAGAGCATCTACCCAGAATTCTGGGGAAGGTGAGCCTGGAAAAGGAGTGTTCAGATGGTGTTTTTTATGGTACAGATAGTGTGCTCGGCACGACCATTTTATTTGCTGGTGTGGGGGCACAAAAAACAAAACAGGATGCCTAAGGAGGTAAACACAGACGGAGAGGTTAGTTGCGATATTCTGTTCCATTGTCGCATTGAACCATTTTAATAGTTAATTGAAGTGATTTTTGACATAGTTAATAAAAGCAGTAAGATGAGTGAAAACATCAGACTTTTGCTTTAAAGGAAATACCCAGAGATAGTGAGAAAAATCATCCAATAATAACATGTAATGTTTAAAACCAGTAATGCTGGGAACAGGAGATTGCCATAAATCAATATGTAAAAGTTCGAAAGGAAATGAAGAAACACGACACGAAGGATAAAATGGGAGATGAACATGTTTTCCTAGTTGACAAGCATAAAATAAATTATTATTATTATTATTAAAATATTGAAAAGGACTGGAGACACCACGGAGAACAGCCGGGCTAGGATGGCTGAGGCACCTAAGCCACGTATGAATGTCAACGGACGCACTGTGGGCTTGATCTGGGGAAGCGGGATGCAGGGGGTAGAGTAAGCTTGTATTATTGAACCGATGAATCACAGTTCCCATTCGAGGATCCTTCACAGAAAAACCTTGAGCATCAAATTCAATTGAACAATTATTATCACGTGTAAACTGGCGAACTGAAATAAGGTTATGGATAATGTGGGGGGAGATTAGGATATTATTGAGGGATAAAGGGGGGTTAGTGGGAAGGGTGTGGTTTCCCACCTCCGTAGTGCTAACCTTAGAACCATTGCCTACAATAATATATAATGGAGAGTTTAACATTTGAGAAGAGACATGAGAAATAGTACCTAGATCAAAGGCAATGTGATGCGTGGCTCCCGTGTCAAAGTACCATGTGAGTTACCGAAGGTTCATGGTATCAAACTGGTGTGCTAAGGTTGTGGGTGTGGGGTTGGGAGCCCGCAGGTGAGAGGGTGGGGGCTGCGGGTAGTGTGTGGG